ATATTCTGTTTATGTTGGAGTAGAAATTAAAATTCTACTAGTAGAGATTAAAATTTCAATTTCTACTAGGAGAAATCGCAATAACAGGCGATTTTAAGTTGCACTAGTAGAAGTTAAAATTTTGATTTCTACTATAGGAGAATTTTAAATTCTACTAAAAACGTATACTATAGAAGTATGCAAATTTCTTCGAGAATAGAAAATAAAATTAACTCGTACGTAATCACTAGATCATTTGATTTAATGCTATAATTAACCTGTAATTCGCCAATAATAATTAATTTAACGTGTTTATTAATTCAGAATTTAAACTAAGCTTTACTCCAACCATCTTTTATTACCAATATGATGCCATTGTGACCAACTTGTGTGATAAACACTTGAAATGGAATCTTTCGCCTAAAGATTCTATATATTTATCAAGCTTCAAATAAAATAGTTCTATTTTATATCATATTGAAGTGTTTTTTCTTTTGATACTAACGTGAGAAGTCCAAATTAAATATCCAAAATCGTTTTTTCTTTTCGTTCGACATATTGCATCATTAGAAAAAGTGTTAATTTTATTTTCTATTCTCGAAGAAATTTGCATACTTCTATAGTATACGTTTTTAGTAGAATTTAAAATTCTCCTATAGTAGAAATCAAAATTTTAACTTCTACTAGTGCAACTTAAAATCGCCTGTTATTGCGATTTCTCCTAGTAGAAATTGAAATTTTAATCTCTACTAGTAGAATTTTAAATTCTACTGAATTTTAATCTCTACTAGTAGAATTTTAAATTCTACTGAATTTTAATTTCTACTCCAACATTTATATCAAGATTAAGATAAATATATGTTTCAAATAATATTATATTTATGTATAATTTTTCTTTTTTACTTGTAGAATGTATGAGCCAACTGATTTTGTCAGTCAACACCTGTAACATCTTATTATGTTATTTCTGAAATATATTTGATTTATCTTATTAAATTCATCGGTAAGACAATTAAATAGTTAAGAGTATTATTTTCTCAATGAAAAACAAAACAACAAAGAGACAATTTCTATGTTATAGAACCTAAAAAAAGAATAAAAAATATTGCTTTTTTTTCTTTTAAAAACAACTGATGAGGGAATCTTTTCGGGTGTTCCTTTTCGATTTCAATGATTTTTTTTTGTGCCTATAAATACTAAATAATGTTCTAGTAAAAATCCTGAAATGACTCTGAATTTCTATTAAAATTTGGCTAAGCTATCGCATTTTTAATATGTCTATTTTTTAGAGATCCCTGTAGGACTCCAGATTTTCTGAAAACTTGTCTTTTCATGAACATGAAATAATAAATGATGAAAATTCAATAAAATAAAGTGAAGATTCATTATTTAATTTAGAAGATGATAATAATAAACAAGAATTAAATGAAGATAATCAATTAAAATGTTGTTTATGTAAACAATTATATAATCAACCGAAAATTTTTATCATGTACACATACATGTTGTCTTGAATGTGGCGAAAAATTAATTAAAAATAATTCAAATAAAGATCAAATTCAAATGGACTGTCCAATATGTCAACAAATAACTGAAGTTAGATTGTTTATTTCTTTTATTTTGTTTTTTTGTTTAATAATATAAATAAATTTATTTAGATATCAAATATAAATATTTGTTAGTTGATAATTATTTATTAATACGTGAAATAGAAAATTTAGCTTTAAAAAATGGTTCAATTGAATGTTGTGCATGTACAGGGTGGCCCAAAAGTAAGGAAACATAATACAGAGTACCCGATAATAACTCGTGATAAATTTTTAATGATATTTTTCATACTTTTCATTAATGTAGAGACCTGAAACTTTCAGAAATAAAAGGTCTTGATTAGATATGTATGTGGTAAAAATTTCAGGTCTCTACATTAATAAAAAGTATGAAAAATATCATTAAAAATTTATCATCAGTTATTATGGGATACCCTTTATTATGTTTCTTTACTTTTGGGCCACCCTGTATATCAAATGATATTGGAGTTGCACATTGCTCAACATGTTCATCATATATATGTACAAAATATTGTCAAGTTCATCAATATATGAAATGTTTTGAACAACATCATATATGATGTTTATCATAAATTGATAATGATGAACAATATTCAAATTGAATATATCAAATTCATAAAAAAACTGATATGATTTATTATTGTAAAACATGTTCAATTTCTTTATATGATCAATGTTTATTAATACGTCCAACAGCACAACATGATATTCAAAACAAATCAATTTGAACAAATTTATTCAAATTTAAATGATAAAATAAATCAAATTGATCAGATACGTTTAAATGTTTTAGCTTATTTAAATTATCAATTAGCTTCTCTTCAACATGATTATGATAAAGCTAAAACACAAATTGATATAGCACATACACAATGTTAACAAGTTTTAAATGATGTTTATGTAAGTTTTTCTTAATTTTTTTCAGAAAAAAAAAACAAAAAAAAAACATTTTTTAATGATAAGTTGAGATTTAAGATCGAAACATAACATTTTCGATTGAGAACGATTGGCAGAAACGTCTTAGCTCAGTAGAATGTAAACAACTTGATGAGAAACGACACTCGACATTGATCCCAGAATTCACAAAAAAAATATGAGGTTCTAGAATGTGTCGTAGAATATGAGAGATTTTTGTGAATTTAATATCTCGTGAAGAGAACATTCTTTTCACCTAAAATTTTCAGTACATTTTAGTTACTAGTAGGCCTATCTGCAGGCAAAATTTCACCTAGAAATATCATCATTTGATTCTTTGGTGCATACAGTACTATAGGCTAAAATTTCAGTAAAATGCCTATAACTTTGTAGAGAAGGCCTATGGGCACTTGTCCTTTTGGGGTTTTCATCCCTCATTAGGGTCTGTCTTATGTATAGAGTCCGGACTCAAAAGCACTTAATCACTTCGGACGGTTCCCTCGTCAGTGAGAGTAAGAAAATCCCTAAAGGATTCGGCTCCATGGGCTATTGGTGAAGAGTTATGAGCGTTTCACCAAACTTTCATCCTATTCGTAGATACTTGCGAAAAGATGAAATTACATAGTTTCGATTCAAAATTCCACCTAAAGTTAGATATAATGATCCTAAGAATATCCTGAAAGTTTCACTCAAAATTAATGTTTTATTCTTGAGTTATTGCATTTTCTGAGCGAACTGAATTTTTGGATCATGTGTATAGCAAGCGACTAGTTTTTGAAATACTCAACAATTCAAGAACAGAACAAATTTTAGCTGAAACTTTCAGTATATTCTAAAGATTATGATATAGAACTTCAGGCAAAATTTCAAGTCGAAAACGTGTAATTTTATCTTTCAAGCACATACCTACAGATAGGATAAAAGTTTAGCGAAACAGTCGTTATTCTTGAACAAAAGTCGCTGGGCCCGAACTATTTTAGGGTCTCTTAGTCTTACTGAGTCCTATTTATAGCCAAAGTATGGAGTCAAACGGTCCGGCACTTGTTATATTTCCTCGTTAGAAAAAAAATAATGTTAATGCTAGACATTCACTAAATACTAGGTGCCATGAAAACTTCACTTTGTATCATTAGAAGAATCTTTTTTTTATCCATCCATATTTCAAGAAGCTTCGTACCTAAAAGTTCGAAATCTTCAAACCCAACAGATTCATGATTAACATGAGATTTTTAATGAAAACTTGAGTGTTGTGCATATCGCTAAGTGCAAATGCTTTTCTCTATTAAGTTTTCTTGAAATAGATCTATGAAACAAAAGCATTTTATATGAAGTAGCTACAGTAAGATGATTGATTTTGTTGTTTCTTTATTTTGAAAATTAACTTCTTAGTCAACTAATGCTTAACGAATCGTGGTTGAAAATATTTTTTTTTATTTTTTATAGAATAGTTTATGAAATTTTGTTTTTTTTTTATTTGTGCGACAAAGTCTGATTTGAAACAAGAAATAAGTAACTCAGAAAAATCAATTTTATCACCGAAAAATAATCCAATACTTTAAAAAGAATTTCTTTAAGAGCATATAGATCTCTCTTGAATTCAATCCAAATCAAACAATATTATTTCAATATAAAAGAAAAATTCATTTTTCAAAAATGTTTTTATTATTTTCGATTCACAATCAAGTTTTATTAGATTGATATTTGAGATTTTAGTCCTCGAAGATTTAAATTAATAATCTATCGAATTGAGAATAATAAATAATTTAATTTCAGCATTTACTATAAATAGTTATTCTCAGTTTGGACAAAAATATTGCTTTTTTCTTTGCTTTCTTCTTTTAATTCTAGTAGAATGAAAAAAAATACGGATGTTTGCGCAAGAATTTTTTCATTTATAAGAAGTCAAAGTTAGCTTTAAGGATCGTATTGCTCCAACCTTTGATATTAAAAGGAAATAAACGTGGTAAAAAAATTTCAAGAAAACTTGATGCGTCAATCGAATAATCATTCTCAAGAAGAAACAAAAGTCACCAATATTAAGTGTTGGTGATAAATTTTCATTAAGGATGTTATTATGTGTTTTGGCTGATGGACGACAATTAAAATTAGAAAATTATCATGCACTTGTTTATTTAATGGAAAAAACGAAAATGTTAAATATCGAAATCGAAACACATATAAGTACATGTTATGGCGTGCAGGAGAACGTACGAAAGGAGAGAGAGACAGAGAATGAAGAAAAGAAAAAAAGTAATATAGCCTGAAAATGTTTTCCTTTTTCAGTTATATGCATTGATTCATCATAGTTGATAACATGACTGTATCAAATGCCGATATTCTTTTAACAGTTCAATATATTCAGAAAGTAAAAAAACGAAAATGTTAAACATCGAAATCGAAACACAAGTACATGTTATGGCGTGCAGGAGAACGTACGAAAAGAGAGAGAGATAGAGAATGAAGAAAAGAAAAAAGTAATATAGCCTGAAAATGTTTTCCTTTTTCAGTTATATGCATTGATCCATCATAGTTGATAACATGGCTGCATCGAATGCCGATATTCTCTTAACAGTTCAATATATTCAACAAGTATGTCGCATAATTGTCCATGAAAAAACCACAAGTTTTTTCGTTTTTTCGTTTCTTAGATTAGAGATATTCAAAATCAGATCCAGGGCATCAATAATGCTATTGCTGTTCGATCCGTTGCAGGTCTATCATTTACTGACTTACAGCGTGCACGACGGTCACGTGAAGGAGAACTTCAGCAAGCACAACAATCTTTATGTAAGATTAGCATTCTTTATATATTTCTTCTAAAAATATCTATTTTATTTAGTAACTCATCTTACTTACATTGCTGAATCGACTCAAGAAAATTAATAATATGAAGTAAATAGATAGAATTTATTCAATAAATATATATAGGTTTTTTTATTTTATTTTTATTTATTGTAGTTAATTATTTTTTTTTGGCTTTATAAATTATATGAACTCGATCTTTGTAAACTTGAATACTCAATAGTAAATATTGTCAAGATACGAATTCATGATGATATTCGAAAAAAATATTTGGAATTTTTTTTTCTTATATTTTTTTTTTCTGCTATTAAATTTTTTTTGTTATTCATTCAATCTGGTATTTTTTTTCTTCTGATATTCTCTTTTTTTGCTAAGTATCATTTTCTCTCGGTATTCATATTTTTCTGGTATTGTTCACTTTGAAAAAACCTATTCGATATCAATTTAACTGTGTGAATGGATATGTAAATATCATGATCAATCTTTGAATAAAAAAATATTCACAACCTTTATTATTTTTTTCGTTGATACTTTGTTTTGTATTTGGTTTAATACGAGATAGATTTCTTATTAAATGTATGAAAAAAGGTTTTATTTCACCAAATGACTATCTTCAATATTTGGATGGTTTTCTAAATTCTGTTCATAGTTCAAATACAAAGCATTATTTATAAGATACACTGTTTTTTTTATGAATCTAACACAATTTCTCATCCGTTACATATATGATGTATTATTATATCCAGTATTATCAGTAAATATTCATCAGTATTGCTTCTCTACATAATAATATTCTATCTGATCATTAGTGTTAAACCTGGGAGCTGAAGTCAATTATTGAAAGCATTTTCAGCTATTCAGATATTCATTACATGAACTCAAATATTCAAGAATTGAACTATTCCTTAGTTTCGACATGCGCGCAATGTGTGTCTTTCCGTGTCACTCACACCGATAAGGGTACCCTTTACGTGTCTTCCCGTGATACCCCAATGAATATCTGAATTCAACTTTTAGGTTCGACACATATGATCAAAAAGAGACCACGTCGCAAAAATTTGATGGAAAACATTTAAGCTCAATCGATCATATCGTGTCGATGAACAGAAAGGATAAACGAATAAATGAAATCTTTGAATCAAGAAAATTGAGTTTTTTTAAAAACACTCCGATCGTTTTAATCAATAGAAGAAAACTTCTTTTTTTATATCGATAAAAACAACGCACAAAAAAACAAAATAAGACGTTCTGACTTGACTTTGAAATCCAATACATCTGATTTTGTTTTATCGACTATCTGTGTGTGATTGTTGATTGATGTAGAATAATTTTGGAATTATGTATTCACATGAAGATAATATAGATTATTTTTTTTTTCCTCATTCTATACTAATCATAGTCCACAGATAGAGTCAGCCATTTTTTTTCATATTGAATATAGAATAAAATATGGATAATACTGTCAAATATTGGTGGATTTTTTCCTGATCATAATAGAAAGAATATAGTTTTCTTCTTTCGAAATCATAGTAAATAAATGATAGCAATCATACAAAACATATATTGACTTCTTTATTGCATTGTATGCCATTTACTAAATAATTTTCAATTTGAATTCAATAATTAGAAAAATTTTTAATTTCTTTTTTTTAGATAAATTTCAAACTTATATTTACATTGTTCTGTTTTTTTTTCGTCTTATATTCATTAAAATTATGTATCTCATCGATAAGATCTACTGAGAGAAATGCAACTATCTTTCGATTAGTGTTATAACGATGATAGATATTAAATGATGAGCGAAGAACTATTTGTAATGTTAAAGGGACGGAAAAGGCACACAGAATGAACTTGATATATTTGATTATATCGAAAGACTTCTGGTTATATCATTCTTTTTTTTCTTCTTCTTCTTTTCTGTTGTAGAGAGAGAGAGAGAGAGAAACTGAAGAATAATGATAAACATGCAAACCTGGTAAAGAAGAGAGAGCAAGAGAGAAACTAAATAGATTGGTTGTAGAAGCGCGATTATAGGACTATTCACATATTACGCCGGTACTAGGGAGGAACGAGGGAAGGCAATAGCCATGATGACATCATCAATAGTTATATGGTATTATTTCTTTCTTAGGAGAGAACTCAAGATAGCAGAGTTGCAAAACTTCTGGTTTCTCGCAAAAGATTCGAGCAAGTCAAGTTGTTTTTTCAGTATACAATATCTTGAGAAGAACCCATCCGTTTTTTCCGAAACTTTCGAGATATTATAAGGACCATGAGGTCTATTCCTCAGTAAAATTTCAGATTAAAATTTCTTGATTCAGTTTTCCGCATAATATACTACAATAAACTGATCATAACTCAAGAAGAAAGCGTTGATGGCACATATCGTTTTAGGACTTTTATCTGTACCATGGATTCTAGGAATCAGTAAAATATGAGCTTGAGCGGATGTTATCAGTTGGAAGAGTTCCCTCGTTAGATAAAAAGAGTGCAAATGACGCGATTTTTTTTGTTTTAAAGTATAAAAATTAAAGCGAATGATGATTGATGAGACAAAGAAAACTTGGTCCTATCATAGACAATAAAACAAACAGTTAAAACTTACTAGTCTTCTCCTCACCCACACCCATCAACAAAACAATAAAAGAAGAAGAAAAATAGAGATAAATTTTTCCTTTTTGTACAGATTTCAAATACGCTGACAAAAAATACTTGTAACTCAGAGATGTCTATCGCGGCGCTGCCGCGGTCGCGGTAGCGGCAGGTTTTTTTAAAAACCATCGCAGCAGCGGCGCGTCAGCGGCAGACTTTTTAAAAAGTCATCGCGGCAGCGGCAGATTTTTTTTCAGGACATTGAAAAACTGCATAAAGGAGGTGTGTCAAATTACGGACTGATCGTACCAAACCAGATAAGCCTAATTTTATTACCCCAATAATCAGCATTGAGTCCTGATTATTTTTCACAAGTTTATTTTGTATTTTATTACAACTCAATTTTTTAACCCCTGGGATCCCCCCCAGGTTTCGAAAAAATTTTTTTTTCTCTGTTCCATCAGAAGTCTTTCTAGTTTGATAGCGCTATGTGTGCTGATTACAAATATCATATTATTTTTCAAAAGTACTCGGATAATAAGAAAGATCTGAGGTACTTTCTGGAAGACGTAAAAATCAGTTTTTGACCTGAAAGTCCATCAAAATCCCGACTAAGCTATTCTCAAATAGACTCATTGGATAGAGAATTTCATTCTCTATCAGAATCTATAAGAATGTCTTAGACATTCAAAATTTTCCCTATCGATAAATGCCAAACACCGCCCCGATTGGGTCATTTTGGCACAAATAATGATTTTTCGAGTCTTTCGAAGTTACACTTTTTCCGGGTGTACCAGCTTGATTTTTTCATTGGATATGCAATTCAATGTGCTCTTTCTGATGATGCGATTTTCAACTTGAAATTCGATGTCTTAAGAAGCGCTTTTGCTT